GCAAGTCCCAGTTGTGAAGTTTAGAGACAGCATTAAGCTTTAACCTGTGGCTGCACTGAAACTGCTCTAACTTTAACACTGCCTAACATTCCACCATTTGGCATAGCTTAAAGGTAAACTTGCAACAGCATCCTAAAAAGCATACTAGATTTCAAACAATTGTTCTGTTATAAAAATGTCCCTACCAGTTTGAATTCATGTCTCTTCAGGAAAGTAACCTAAACCTAGGTATGTTTAAATTAAAGCACTTGTCTGTTACAACTAGCTTCAGAGGTATGTATGTATGTACTTAAAACTGAATTGGACTATTAGCATTTTCAGGATTCAGACTACAATTCCCAATGACATTTCTTATATGAATCGCTTGAATACAAAATATAACGTGTATGTACGTGTGTCCTCTATTTCAGAATCTTCCTTGAAAAATGTAATCTGGTTAAAACCGTGGGATATTATTTACAACCTCAAAAGTAAAATGGAGGAAATAAGTGTGAAGAAGGAATAATTCACCATGTGTGCAATTTAAACATATGTATAAACTAGATTACTGTTGGTAATTCTATTTACAAAGTGCTTTGCAAGCAGTTGAACAGACATTGTACAATGAAACAAAAAATTAAAAAGTCATTCTCCTTTTAATAACTGTTACTGAAAAGCCAGTTTCTTACCTTTAACTGTAAGGTAGCATCCTATGTAGTTTAATGCTTTTGATTTAGTACCTTGACCTTGGAAGTGAACTAGTAAATCTACATTGTAAAATTTAGATCCCCTTAGATGAGCAAAGTTGAAATCCTCTGACTTAGCAGTTATTCCAACAAACAGCTGGTAGCACCAATTGTTAATAAGATGTTTGCTTTTACGAATAATTTTTTTGCTTATACATTTTCTAAAACGTCTCCTTTCAACTGACATGTGTGTGCTTCATTTCTACCTGGAAATGAATTTTGTTTCAGAAAGCTTGAGCAAAAACCCTTCAGCCATTTTTTCGGAGTTACAGAGTGTGAGGACAAACCCACTAACTCCCCAAACTTAGAAAAGTGCCTTCAACCAATCATTGGCAGCAGCAAGTGAGACCACAGTAAGCCACATATTCTTGCTACAGAAATTTCTTCACCTTTATACCCTTCTTAGGAAATACAAAGAAATAAAAACCAATTTCTTCCCAACCCCATCCCATTATAACAAAATTTAGATGATATAGTTATAAACACTGAGAAGTCAAGAAATGAAAAGGCTAAATTCTGATAACATTAACTCATTTCTGCTACATATTTACTAAATTTAATGGAATCAAGATGACCCCCAATAATTAGACTAAAGTTGTTAATTGTCCACATACAGAATTTAATTATTGGAGGGTTGTCAAATTTGTTGTCTCTCTACACCATTACAGAGGGGAATGCAGCGGCAGGGGGGCAGATGGTGGGACGGCACAGTGAGGAAACCAGTAGGGGGTAGGAAGTGGTAGGCCAGGCGATGAGTAAAACCCCTGTCCTTTACCCTTCCACCCATTCCTGTACCCACTAGCACTTGCCCTTCCCACCTCCCTGGTGCCTACCCCACTCCATGGTCCCCCCTACTGCCTGCCTCCCCTGCCACTTACTCTCCAGATCTGGCATGACAACAACCCCACTCTAACTTGGTTGCTTCTTTCCCTGCCCAGTATCTGTAGTGGTGGTGGCAGCAGCAGCTCTGGCCTGGGCTCTGGAACCCAGTTAGAGTCAGTGCCACCACAACAAATGTTACCGGGCTGGCCTGGGGCAGCTGGGGTGGAGCAGAGCTAGTGCCATGCCAGGGCTGGAAGGAAAGGTGGGGGGTGCAGAGGGGACAATGGCACTGGGGAGGTGGGCACCAGCTGTGGTTCCAGCCCCAACCCTGGGTCAGGGTTAAGGCCAGAACTTCAGCAGCCACTTGCCCCCCTGCCACCTTGCATTCAAATCCAAGAGGAGGCACTTTCCCCTCTCCCCCAAAGTTAAATGGGGAGAAAACCTCATCTTGGATTCCAGTAAATATGGCATTCAGTCATGTTTTAATGGTTGACTGGGTTTAATACAAGGCATGTATGCATTCTTTTTAAAAATATTATAAAACATTCACATTATGACACAACTAGCAATACAATCTAATTCTTTCAATTTCTTCATTTTGAACTTTGCAATTGGGTGACTACCTCAGCATTATGAGTTTTTTGCATTTAGCACATACAGCAGATCAATATGGAATAACCCCAGACACATCCAGTCACTGATGGCAGTATACAGACTAACTGAAAAATAAATGCATCTCAAGTGCAAAGCCCATTGATTCATAAACTTTAGGAATTGACAGAAATAGATTTTTAAAACTCTGTTTAATTAAGTAATTCAGTGTGAAATGCTTTAATGTGGAGAGCATTAAAAAAAACAAAACAAACAAAATAAACACATTATGGCATTAATATACCTGGAACAGAAGGACTGAAAAAATAGCTAATAAAGAAAAAATACAAGTAGCCTGTCAGGTGAGGCAAGACTAGTTCTTTCTCCAATTGTAGAACATGGCACTCCTATAATTTTCACTTTGCTTTCTCACACACACAAAAAGAACATTGTTATACAAATAAATAAAGTGTCAATTGAGCCAGTGCTGTATACGCTCATCATGAAACCAAAAGACTACTTGCTGTCACCCAGTTTTAGTCCACTCCCTTTGTAGCAGCAACTTAAGGCATTACAGCAACCTTTTGTGCCATCATACTCACAACATAATTCATAGAATACCAAAAGTATACTGCTCAGCTATATGGGGTAAAAACAAATCAGCAATGCATGTTTATAGCCAATCATGACAAGTGTGCGCTGAGCATGCTGCAGGCACTGAATTTGTTCACATCAGATCAGAATATATTTTCATATGCGGAACCTGCCAAACGATTTTCAGTCACTCTTTAATTGCATCAAAGGACTGTGCCAGAAGGTCACTGGTGATATATCTTTTTTGTTAACGCATGGCCAGAGCCCAGAAGTCTCAAGTCAAACCTAGTGTACTGATAAACAGTATGTATCAATAATATTTCTAGACATCGGTTTCTCCCTTTGAATTAGCAATGTAAAACACTTAAATGGAATATACTAACTACATAGTCAGGATTTGCACTACAAGGTACAGCTTTTTTTAAAATTATTATTATTTAACATATAGCAGACATTTAAGTGGGTTCAGGATAGGAACTGCAGGATTCCTACCATGCAACCTTTAAAACACAGGGTAGACTCAGCCTGTCTATAGAATTTAGTTTGAGCTTTTACACCCTCACTTTCTGTTCCCATGATAAGAATAGGATAATGACAAAGGGGACTTTGATCTGCCCAAGACTTTGGAACCTCCCCTTCTTCCCACAGATGCAAAGTCCACTACAGAAATCCCAGATCTGAGATTCTAATTCTGGGAACTGGCCCTTTGGCTTTTGTCTGCACTGGACACGAGTCACAGGCTGCAAAAACTAAACATTTCTATGGATTACTAATATCATCTTCCAAGACAATGTGGCCTCAAGAAGAAAAAACTCCTTTGCGACTCCAAAAAGGCAGCTAGTCACAGGCTCAAACATCCTAAAACACCCTGTTCATATTGTACAGTTGGAAATGTAGCAAAAATAAGTAAAGAATTCATGGTTTGTAGATCACAACAAAATGAATAAGCCTGTGCAGTAGAGATAACTAGACTGCATTCCACCAGATCATAGTGACCTGCTGTCAAAACTTTTAAAACAATATTAAACTAAAAAAGACGAATTTTATTGCCAATACATCAACCTGGCTAACTCAAAATGAAACATTCATGGTTATACGCTCAGAGCTCGTCAGTAGCAACTCACCAACTATGTGAGCTTACACATGAATGGCCATGTCAGTTGTAAGCCAAAGAAGTTATATTATCCATACTTCAGATGCTTCAAAAGCAGTATGAGAATCTAAATTAAAAAACCCAAAACCCTAATATACAGGATGAATCTCTTGTCCTTTTGCATTGTTGGACTATATTGCTTAGGATTTAAGGGCCAGAAATAAATCCTCAGCTCCAGGGACGCGGGGTATCCATGGAACTAGGGTATCCTTTTGAGTACTTCACAAACAACAACATGTTGTTTGTTTTGTTGGCAACGTCTTGGTTGCTTGCAGATGTTAAAACAACCAAACCAAACCAAACCAAACGACCCCCAATGCTTTACCAGAAGAAGCAGCGCATTACTTCAACCCAGCTTTGTAGCATCTATATACATTGAGCGCTTCAGCAGGGCTTTTTGGTGCTTTTAGCTAAAGACGAGTCAATCAGCTATTAGATAAAAGCACCAAAAAAGCCAAACTAAAGTGCCCTATCTATACAGACATTGGACGACCTGGGACCAACTACAGCACCACCTCTTCTGGATGTGTGCTGGGCTTGGTATGGGAATGTACCAAGTTTAAAGTGCCAGTTTTGGGGGGTTTTGTTGGCAGGGGGGAAGCTTTTTTGGTTTTAATGTCTGCAAGCAGCCCATGTTCTTTGCTTACATATAAACACTGACTTTTGCTGGCCAAGTGTGTCCACAATGTTCCAGATAATATCAGAATGGCGGTTTGTTCATCACTTCAAAAACTGTATAACCTTTTACTTAATACTTTCAGACTAAGAACTAAGATGATAAAATGTGTACTGGTAAAAATAAAGTTGTTTCCTTTAAAGAAGCAAATATAAAAAGGGTACAAACTTAGTAAAACATGATACTACAAGGCAGGAGAAGAATGAAGCACTCAGGAGCTTCTTTTAAGATGCTCTCTTTGACACATACAGTATGACATCTTTCAGGCTCTTGAGGAATGTATTTCAACTTCCTTATCTATGAGAATCTAAGGTATAATATTAGCTTACTAGTCAACTTCCAGGGTCAGCTACATGAGAACAAGAACTAGTATTTACGGAAGATGCTTACCTTTGGATAATTACAGATTCTCCCATACTTGAAAAAAAACAAAACTTACTTTTATTGTCTAGCTGAGCTCTGTATTTACTAAACCCTTTTAGCCGTACTCTCTGGCCCAGAAGATCAAGGAACTCTTCAAAAGCAGGCCCTGCAGTTTCATTATTATACATCTCCTCCTCTGTGCTCTGGCCTGCTTTGCAATAAAGGATCCCAATCTTGTGCTGAAAACTCAGCTGAGGCAAAAAAACCCCACACAAAATTAGTATTGGAAATAGATGGCAAACAGTAAAACAAATAGTAAATGTTAAACACATTTATTATAATAGCAGATGAAAACTATTACATGTATCAAAAAATAAGGGAAAGTTGAAATGCCAAAGATAAAGAAAAGAATGATGTAATTATAAGTGGACAGTCAATATTCAAACATAGATAAAAGAAATCAATTAATAACAACCTTAGACTTGGCCAATCAGGTATCAATACAAAACGAGAATCTCTAGTCTCTAATTAGTCTTTTGTTATACGCTCGGAAGATACTGAATAGTCAATTTTTATGTTTCTACCATTTAAGACTTTACAAGTTGGTCGTGTGTGTTTGTGTCAAGTACTTCCCCTCCACCCTTCTCATTATATGAGAATAACCATTCAGAAGACAGGTTTCAAATGAGGAGCTATAAATATGTTTTCATCAGATATTTTTTTAACATCCATCAATAAATATTATTCATCCATAAAACCTTTTGCAAAAGTAGTTTCTCAGTTTTCTGTGAATGATAACTTGTAAAGATGTTTTATATGTGTAGTGTGCAGTGAACTAGAAATCAGAGAGCAATTCAATAATTTTGCTAAATAGATAGCAATAGATTTGTTAAAATATCACCACCAAGATGTTATTAGAAGAGATGGTAATTATTCTCGCCAGAACAGTATTGACTTATTTTCTGTGCCTTAAAAACTTAAGATGACAATATACAGGAACCCCTCCCCCACGTGAGCAGATTAGTCCTATTAGCCTTTCTACCAGCTATTAGAGCTTCACAAACTGACAAAGAACATTTGTCACACCAGATTCCCTTAAGACATTTATCCATAAACCACTGTTCATATCTACACACCAGCTGTAAAGTATTCCTTTAATCAAAATTCAGTGCGTGTGTGTGTACATGCATAAGAATAATTATATGTCTGTCCCAATTAAAAAAACCACAAAGGTGACAAAAACATCTACTTCACATTACACACATATTATACATGAACTGCTGTGTTAAACATACTATAGCTCATGTTAACTCACAGGTGTGATATTGTACTGATGTTTTATCATGGCAATATTTGAGGAAAAGGTTGAACGGTGAAAAAGGGCAAATCATGAAAATATGTCACGAAGAGTTAAGTGTCAGGAGCACAGCTTTAAGCCTCAAATAATCTTTACCTTCTCATTTAGGTAATACCTGCTCCTGAACCATGGAAGTGGATAGTTGCATGAATGGCAGTTTCAAAAAGTATTTTTTTTTAATTAAAAAGAAAAAAAGAAAAAATGGGGACCCCCCCATTGCCCCTGGAGGAATAAAAGCTCTCACTGAATTTACTGAACTGGCCCTTTGTACCATTATGATGCTGCTGCCTTACTAACCTCCTGTTCTGTCTCCCAAGCAGCTCAGGGTTTAACTTGGCAGCACTCAAGGTTCTCAGTGAAACTGGCTTAACAGTTTACCATCACAGGCACCAATCACATTAAATATCTTCAAATGTCAAAAGCCACAGATATTTTTAAAAACTGATGGAAAGAATCACAGAACCCAGTCATTACAAAATGCAGTCAAAGGGGAGTTTTGGTCCTACTGAAATCAAGAGTCAAAATTCCAGTGTTCTTAATGGGGCCAGGATGTCATGCTTAGTTATGAAATTACACCTCTTCACTGGAACAATTTCTGCCCAGTTTCACTGGTGTAAGTCTGACCTAAATCCATAACTTCAGTGAAGTTAGGTCAGACTCGCAGTGATCTAACAAAACAGAATTCAGTCTACTGGTTCACACACAAAAAAGTGCATGCAGCAGGATGTGAATTGCTCGTGACAAGGAAAAGGACAATGTGTAAATGCAAAGCAAGTGCTATTCTTGTAGTAAGGGGCAAAATGGAATTGGCAAAAGAAAACTGGAACAGTATGAAAAGGCTGACAGAATAATAGTAGGAGGAGTGTGAAGGGTTAAAGGTCACATTAAATGGGAGTGGGCACTTGAGAGCATTTGTTATACAAAATATATTTTTTGCTGAGAACTAGTAGAGGACTGAGGAATGTATTTGGTATCCGTGTTGGTCTGAGACAAAAAGAAATGGAAAACTCTAGAACTCTAGGTTCAGAAATGATTTCTTAGTTGGTCAAATAAAAGGTATTGCAAAAAAAGTACCTTTTTTTGCAAGCTTTCAGGTACACACACCCTTCCTCAGGCTCAGGGAAAAATAAAGATGGTACAGAGTCCCCACAGTTAGAAAATAAACTTCATTTTTGCACAAAGGCAGCTGAAGGTGGAAGTCTGTTCCTCTGGGTCCATGAAAGGACTTAGGCACTTAAAAGGCACCCCTCAAAAGAGAATTCAGCACTGGGACCCTGAGCAGAAGGAGGAATTCTCCATGCAGCTCTGGATCAGATGCATAGATACCAAGCAGGCCCCAAATTTCATTTTCTTCCTATTAACTAGTTCTAGGAATCTCCACACTCAACTCACTTGATTATGAAAGTACTAAATGAATGCACAGTAACAACTGCACAGTTCGCTGCTTGTGGAGATGCAGCCAGCGTATGCTAAGTTTGTTCAGGATTAGGCTCCTCAAAGAAAGTAGGAAAATGGATACCTAGTTTCTGAATCCTGATGAGGCTCATGTGCAAGCCTGATACCAAGCTGCTCAGGTTGCGGCTGCTCTGGGTTGGTCTCTAAAGAACTTTAGTCAACTCCAGTGATGAGTCCAAACTCAATAGGTACCTTAAGGGGTGAAGTGGAAGCTGAACAGGGTTTGGCGATTACAAATTTGGATTTGGGCAACAAAACCTAGCTAACCTATATCCATGTGTTTAGGTGTTTATATAAATACCTTAAACACCTAAACAGCTTCATGTAAAGCGACTCAAGTTTCTTGTTTGGGATTGATATCATCCTTCTAATGGTAAAAAAACTCCTAATACCATTACGCAGTACTGATATTTGCTCTTTACATTATTTATAAAAAGCATACAGATACGTAAAAAACAAAATGTTGAAAAACTGCAAAAAATCTTTGGAGTATAAACTAGATGGCCCTGTGTTCACACTTTGTCTAAAATTTTGTAGAATGAACAATCTTGAGTCAGGAAGGAGAGCTAGCTGTTAGTCAAATGCTCAAACTACCAAATAAGTAATAGCAATTGGGCAAAAGATGACCCAAGTTTTTACTGAGATTGCTTTGAAGAGAACTTCAATACCTCTATATCATTAAACTTTTTGCCTGTGATTTTGCAAAAAGCTTAAGGAAGTTAGGTTCATAATCCACTGAGTTTCAATGCCATTTGAGCATCTAATTTTTTTGTGCTGCTTTGTAAACTCTGAAGTGGAAAGTAAAAACTAGGGCTGTGCGAAACGGCTGTCTCGTTTCGATTTTGGATTCAGCCGTTTTGGAGGACAGTAATTTGTTTTGGTGTTTCAGATCACTGCTCTGTTTTGATTCTGCCAAATCTGTTACGGAGTTTCAAAGCTGTTTCAGAGATTTGGATCAGCTGGGGAGAGGCAGGCACAGCCAGGCAGCTGCAGGTTCTCCCGCGGCTCCTCTGACTGTGCCTGCCTCTCCCTAGGCAGGGGGCAGCCACGGGAGCAGCCCCCATTGCTGCCATCCTGGCCCCATCCCCCACCCAGTCCCAGAACTTTAAAAAAAGCCCCGCACTTACCAGCTGCAGTAGTGACTGGGGTCTCTGAGCACTCATGGAAGAGTACCCCCACGCAGTGCAGGGCAGTGAGGATCACCCGCCCCGCTTGGCACCTGTGTGGCAGCTGCCCTATGGCACAGGCGCAGCATGGCTCGGCAGGGCACCGCACACTGTTTGGGAGGTGGGGCTGCTGTGGCTGAGCACTGCCAGGCTCTGGCTCCAGCTGGTAGGTGGAGCCGCTCAACTCCCAGACAGCGTGCTGCTGCCATGCAGGTGCCAGGCGAGGCAGGGAGCAATCTCCACTGCCCTGTGCTGCTTGGGGGGGCTCTGCCCAGAGGCCTTAATTGTTACTTCTACAGCCAGTGAGTGCAGGGCTTTGTTTTTTGGGGTTTTTTTCCTTTTTTTGAAGTGCCCAGATGCTGGGACTGAGGTGGGGGGGGGGGGGGGGAAATCAGGGAGCAGGGGCTGTGCAAGGGGGGAAATTGGGGAGCAGGGCTGTGCGGGGGGCTCTACCAGGAGACCCCAGAACCCCCTGCTACAGCCGGTGAGTGCAGGGCTTTTTTTTGTTTTTTTGTTTTTCAAGTGCCAGGAGGGGGATGGGGCCGGGCAGGGCAGCCATGGGGATTCTTCTGCAGCTCCCCTGGCTGTGCTCAGCATGCGCTGTTCCAAGTACACTCAGGTGCTGGCACTAGCCCTAGCCAGCATACTGTTATCCCACATGCAGATACAGGGGCCCACGCCACCCGGGAGGGCTGTGAGGCTATGCCAGACTCCTCACAGGAGGCGCGGGCCCCTGGATCTGTGCACAAGATGACAGCAGGCTGCTGTCCCTCCCCCAGAGCACTGGGACTGGAAAGGACCTCAGGGACAGCTTGCAGACACTGGCCAGCTACAGAAGTCAATATCAGAGCAGTCCTTCCACCCCTCTTCTCCCTTCCTCTTCTTAGTTTCCGTTTCCCCGCAAGCTTGGCTACAAAACATTTCGGACAGTTTCGTTGAGCTCCAGATTCGATGTTTCGGGTGCTCAAATGGGCTGAAACACCTCTGAAATGAAACAGCTACTAAAATTTTGCATAGCCCTAGTAAAAACATTCCAGTGAAACATAACATACCCCCACTTAAGAAAGGAGAAGAGAGTTATTATTAGTCAAAATGTTGTTACCTGACCTTCAGAAGAAGACAGTTGATTTTTGCCACCAAAACAACGGTGAAAGCTGATTCTGATCATCTAATTGTTTGACTCAGCAATTAAGAAAACACTGATTCTTTATTTACTTTCTTGCATAAAGTTAATCATTCCATTCATATCTATTTTGCTGTTTTTAGTTTGGGACAACTTTTTTAGCGACAAGAATTGCTTTCCTCCATAACTAATACTAGATTTCAATGGACACAAGCAAATTTTGCATGTACTTATTTTCTCTGATTTTTAGCAAAACGTTTCTTCAAATGTGATCGGTATAACAAACATATTGTATTAACGTTCTCAAAAATGAATAGTCTTCTAGACTAAAACCATATTTTTTTAAAAATGCATGGCAATTCAGCTAGTCATTACCTTCCATTACCATGCTTTCTTTTGTTGTTGATTGATAAATTCAATGCATTAAGTACATAAAAGAATTAAACAGCATAGATGGATGTCATGCTAGTGTTATGTATATCTTTCCATACTCCCCAGTAATTATAGTAACTAGCACATACGATATACTGAAGAATCATATATTCTGCCAGATTATAGCCTATTTTATACCAGAATTTAAATTGTCAGTGCTAAAGACCAAGCAAGAAAAGTGAAAAAAGAGTTCTATACTGCTCTCAATGCTACTAACAGCTGATATCAGATATGACTTTGGCCAGCTCAACTGCTTTCTTGCTCTCACAATGGGGAATCCGAATTGCTGATTGTGGGCAATGGTGACCAGTGCTGTGAGTATACCATTCAGGTAAAATAAAGGAGTACATTGGTCAAGGAGTACTTCACCTGTGACCACAGAGTAATGTTCCTCTGTGACAGCAGAACACTCATTTTGAAGGACTCCTATGAAGGATATAAGACCTTAAGAGCTCTGACAGTAAAGACTGGCTGAATCCTTCTGATTTGTAATGCTATTTTGCATAAACTTCTTATAATCCAAAAAAGAAAGTAAAAAAAAAAAACTTAGCACAACAGTAAGTTTAAACAGGATTATTTTATGGAAATTTATCAAAAGATTCTTTTTGTTTTAGCAGAGGAAAAGTTAATTTGGACCGCAAAATTAAACTAACATTCTTATAACTTGTAAATCCTCTGTTTCCAGTTATATCTACTTGGTTATGATCAACCTTTAATACTAGACAAAAAGATAGAACATTTTATATATACCAAAATGGCAGACACAATCAGTTAGTATTAGGAAGTCAGTACATTGAAAATATATTCACTGATATTTGCATATACAACATGTTCACTTCTTTAAAATGAACATCTTAAAAAATGTTTTGTAAAGTTGAACCAGAAGGCATTCATAAGCCATCCCTCCACAAATTATTCTGAAGCTGTAAAAATGTTTGCTTAGCCTTTCAATGAAGCAAGTTCCCCTTACTGAAACCAATTTAGAAAAAAAAAAATCACACTACTGTTCACTCTGAATATAAAATACATGTTTCTATTCCATTCCTGATGCAGTGCTAACTTTTTAGATAGTTCCAGTTAAAATTCCAGCTGTTCAAACTAACAAGAGTTCCACTTTAATAAGACTCCTCTGAAAAATTAATGACTATTAATTTTAAGTAAAAAAAATTTAAAAGTTATAACTTGGGATTTAGGGGACTTTGAAATAATAAGTAATTCTTTGTCTTTAAACTCAATGCCACTGATTTGCAATTTTAGAAACAAGCTTGACAGGACCTTTTGTCTTCAGGATTTTATATTCTAACTCATGTACATAGCACAGTAGAGACCTTTATATTTATGCCCAATATCTGCATATCAAAAAGGCTGAATTTCATCTGCAAAAATAATTTTTGCTAGAAATTTTAAAATTCAGACTTCAATTACGTTTTATCCCTCTCTTCCTTTGAAAGATTCTCTAGTGGTACTTAAAGGCCAATTGCTTAGGGCAGGGCTGTCCAATTCCCAGCCCAGGGGCTGCATGTAGGCATCCAACTGCTAACAAACAAGGGCCTAACACATTGCCCTGAACCTTCCAGTCTAGATCTATCACTCTTTTGCTGTTGCTGGAGCCCCCAGACATCTCTCCCTCTTATAGCTTCAGCTTCCAGTCCCCACCCCAAGAAACAAGGCAGTGCAGCCCTGGGGCTTGGGGGCCCAGTGCACCTTTGCACAATAGCACAGCATGGGGGGGTGGCGCCCATGCCACTGTGTGTGGGGGGGTGGGGGAGGGAGGG